TGATTGTGCGAGTGATTGATGGGTGTCAGGAGGTATGTTATTTTTTTACGGCTATTGTGAATGATGAGTTTGAATGATTTATTGAGATTAAGTGAAAGGTTGCATTGTTTTGACCATGTGGTTAATGAGTCGAGTTGTGATTGGATGGTGTTTGAGTTAGATGATGGGATGATAAGGTAGGTGTCGTCAGCGTATTTGATGATTTGATTTGAGCTATGAGAAGTTTTGAGAGTAGAAGTGTTGATGATAAAGGTAGATGGACCAAGGACAGAATCTTGAACTATGCTAGAGTTAATAGGTAGAGTAGATGAAAGAATAGAGCTAAATAGAGTGGAATGACTCCTATTAGATAGGAAATTAATTATGATATTGTAAATGTTGTCAGATAGTGGAAGAGAGGCTAACTTATTTGAAAGTAAGAAATGATTGTGAGTGTCAAAAGCTTTAGAGAAATCGAGGGCAATAAGATGAACATAATTATTATTTTTAAGGAAAGATGTTATTGTGGAAGTAAGAGAGATGATGGCGGATGTAGATAAGCCTGTTGGTCGAAATGCGAACTGGTCTTGTAATAGTGGTTTGACGGATGGATGGTTGAAACATGGATAGATGAATGACCTAACGATGAATTTTTCTAGAATACGTGAGAGAATGGGGGTGATAGATATTGGGCGATAATCTATTGGTGATGATGGGTGTTTTGTTTTAGGAATTGGATGAATTGTGCTGGATTTCCATTGTGATGGGATGAATGAGTGAATTAAGCAGTGATTGTAGAGTGAACATAAGGTGCTGGAGATGAATGGAGCGATGATTTGTAGAAACCATGCAGGTAGACCGTCTGAACCTGTACCGCATTGGCAAGCCTTCGTTAGCATGTGCAGGACTGAGTATGGTGTAAATTGTTGATGTTGATGACTATTGATTGTAGTAGCTTTTGTTGGTGGAATTTTGTAGGACTGGTTGGTTGACATGGAAGCAAAGTGGGTGTTGAGTGTGTTGGCATCAATATGCTGCACGGTTGATGTGTTGAGTGATTTCTCAGAGCCTCTAATCTTGTTGACTTGTTCCCACATGGCTTTGCTTCCACACTTACTATTAGTAAAAGTTTTTGAGTTGAAGTTGATAATAAGTTTACTGATGTATTTGGTGATCGCTGCGGCTTTGAGGGTGGATCCTAATCTCGTGAGTTTATTTTTTTGGCAAAGTAGAAATTTGATGAATGGGCTGATAATCTAAGCGTGATGTTTGATGCTGGGTAGTACCTACTGTAAGTTGCTGGGTAGTACCTACTGTAAGTTGAATCAACTTTGACTTTTAATCTTTTAATTTTTTTGTTGTAGTTATATAGAACTTTTCTGGTAGTTTTTAATGATATATCTAATTTTTTGGCTTTCCTTTTCAAACTTCTAGGTGTCAATGCATCAATACCAGTCTGTAAAATTTTTCATTTTCCTTTCAACAGCTTATATTGAATATTTAAACAATCATTTACAATTTTGGTTATAGTTATAGAAACATGTGTTAAAATATTAAATTATATTTTTCACTATTTTTCATTTATTAAATGAACCATCATACATACAAACCAATTTAACAATTGATGTTGATGGAACTGCAACATTTTCTAAAGATGCAACATTTTCTATCTGAAGTTTGAATATTGTGATATTCAATATTTTGCAATATTTGATTTGTTTGTTGACGTTGTTGATAGATTTTGAACGATTTAAAAGTTAATTGTTGCGTTAGTTTGAATTTACTGGAAATTAACGATTAGTTGATTTCTTCTGTAAATAAAGTTTAATAACTAATAATAGTTGATTTCTTCTGTAAATAAAGTTTAATAACTGTTTGGAATATTTTATTCAATCGAGGATTTGAACCCGTCGCATCGTAAATCGTTTACGACAGAGAATATTATAACATTGGTGTTAGAAGTGGGATTTTCGACTAACGAGTTACTACTCATAGAAAAAGAACACGATGTCAAAACTGTGTGGTTTGAACGTAGTTCAGCTACGAGAAGAACTACAGAAACGAAGCCTTGTCACAAGTGGCAACAAAGAAGTACTAGTAGCACGTCTGAGAGAAGCTCTCATTAACGAAGGTAAGAACTCAGACGAATTCAAGTTTGATGGTGCTGACGAAGACAATGAAATTAGCACAGGCACGTTTACAACCGCTAAAATGATGGAACTTCTACTTAGTATGTCAACTGAAATGAAACAGATCAAAGAACAGTCCGAACGACAGTCCGAACGACAGACAGAAGAGTTAAAACAACAGACAGAGGAGTTAAAACAGATCAAAGAACAGTCCGAACGACAGTCCGAACGACAGACAGAAGAGGGTTAGGGTTACACTTAGTATGTCAACTGAAATGAAACAGATCAAAAAACAGTCCGAACGACAGTCCGAACGACAGACAGAAGAGTTAAAACAACAGACAGAGGAGTTAAAACAGATCAAGGAACAGTTCGAACGACAGACAGAGGAGTTAAAACAGATCAAGGAACAGCTAAAACACGTAAAACTGGAAGTGGCAGAACAGATTGAAGAACAGTCAACAAGAATAGAAATGATCGAGCAGAAACTTGATCGTCAGACCGTTGAGGTTGATCACAAGATAGACAAATTGAAGCGAGAATTGGAGCAATCCAAAAAAATGGCCATGCCGTTAGATTACGCATCCGGAAGAACTTTGAAGGCACCAGCATTTGACGGAGAGATGTCTTGGAACGTTTATAAAACCCAGTTAAAAGCAGCGGCAACTAGTAACTGTTGGAACGGAAAAGAACGAGCAACAGCACTGATACTGGCCCTGCGAGGTTCAGCAGCAGAGGTTCTTCAGACGATTTCTGCGGAGAACCACTTCAATTATGAAGTTCTGGTTAGCGCGTTGGATTTACGTTATGGTGAAGAAACAGAACGCAACGATCTGGTGAATCCATTCAGCAGCTGGCACAAGGTATCGAACGGTTGACATTGCTGTCGTATCCGACATCAGACCCCGAGCATAGAGACGAAACTACCCTGGATACGTTTATCAAAGCCCTTCGTGATTCGGAACTCAAACAATCCCTTCTCTTGTCAGATAAACGAAAACTCAAGGATGCCGTTGCGCACAGTCTCACTTTTGAATCGGCAAAGCAAGCATCAAAAAGTGACGTACGTCTACGCCAAGTACATGAAGAATGCTCTTGCCAGAAGGTGGTTGTGAAACGCGAACCTCAACAGCATGGTGTACCCCAATGCTGGATTTGTGGTGAAAAAGGCCATCTACGTCGTGATTGTAAACACCGCCTAAAAGATAACTACTGCCGAAATTGCGCGACAAGATGGCGCAAAAGAAGAGAAGATGATCCTGTATCACGATTGGCCCCTTCTAACGAAGGGGCGGGAAAACTAATAAAAGCCAACTTTGTGGGGCAGAGGTTGGCTAGTAGAATTGACGCCCCCAGTACCGTAAGTAACGTTTCCAGACTACATCGAAATCGAAACGACCTATGGCTGAACGGAAAAGTTGATCAACGAGAATGTGTAATTACAGTCGACACCGGAGCAACAAAATCGATTTTAAGATCTGATTTGGTACCCAATCTGAAGAAAGAGACTTCTAACAAATACATCCTTCGAACAGCTACCGGAGGAACAGCACCAGTCTATGGAAAGATTCTCCGTACTGTTCAGCTAGGCGACTTGTTATTCGAAGGTTCATTCTTAGTCGCGGATATCATCGACGAATGCATAATAGGTGTCGACTTTCTGAAAAAATATGGGTTCAAAATTGACTTAGAAAAACGCATTCTTAGATGGAGAAATACAGAAGTGATAATGGGGGATAGCGACGAAAAATGCATTCGAGTGACAGTCGATTGTGACATAGAACTACCTCAATCATCTGAAAACATCGTATGGGGCAAGTTGAATTGCGATCCAAGGGGCCACCAGTTCTATTTGATGAAGCCAACCTCAAAGACAAATGTACAGAACGCGGTCATTGGAAAATGCCTGGTAGAAGCGAACAAAAATGGTCTTATTCCTGTCAGAATAATGAATACCGCTAAACACACTATTAGAATTAAAAAAGGCGAGGAAATAGGTAATTGCCAATCAATAAATTTGGTGAAATCATTAGATATGGAGCAACAGGAAAAGGTTCTACCAACTGACAAAAGTAGACTCAAAGAACTTACCAAAAATCTACTGGATGAACTCAATTTGTATCAAGAAGACCGTCTAAAAGCCGAGGCGTTGATTGCTGATTTTGCAGACGTGTTTTCAACCGGTGACAATGACCAAGGTAAAACAGCTCTGGTAACTCACCGAATTGATACTCAGGATTCGAAACCGATTCGACAAGTACCACGACGTCTTCCTCTAGCAAAACAAACAGAAGTAAACGAAATGATAACGACAATGCAGAATCAAGGCGTCATCGAACCGTCATTCTGGATTTTGCCAGTTGTTTTGGTAAAGAAGAAGGACGGCACTACCCGTTTTTGCATTGATTATAGGAAGTTAAATGATGTGACTAAAAAGGAGAACTGACATCATGGACACCTTATCTGGCTCAAGTTGGTTCTCTACGCTTGATTTGAAAAGCGGATACTGGCAAGTAGAAATCGACAAGAACGATCGCGAAAAGACAGCGTTTTCTATCGGATCGGGGTTGTGGCAATTCACCGTCATGCCATTTGGATTGTGCAATGCTCCAGCTACATTCGAGCGACTGATGGAATGTGTATTGCAAGGTCTTACCTGTCTTGTCTATTTAGACGACATAATTGTTCTAGGAAGAACATTTGATCAACACGTCGAAAACTTACGAGAGATCTTCACAAGACTTCGGGTGGCAAATTTAAAGCTGAACGTTAAAAAGTGCAGGTTATTTTCTAAAGAAGTTAACTATTTGGGACATGTGGTATCTTCGGATGGAGTTTAAACCGATCCCAGCAAGATAGAAATTGTGAAAGACTGGCCAACTCCAAAGGATAAAAATGAATTGCGCAGTTTTCTGGGATTGGCAACGTACTATCGACGTTTTGTAAAGGATTTTGCAAAAGTTGCCAGACCTCTCCACCAACTTACCGAGAAGGACCGAGTTTTCAACTGGAATACCCTATGCGACTCAGCATTTGAAAAGTTAAAAGTTGAACTATGTGATGCTCCTTTGCTAGCATATCCAGTTCGTGGCGAGACGTTTGTGTTAGATACTGATGCAAGTAACAATGGAATCGGAGCCGTCTTGTCACAGTATATAGACGGAGAAGAAAAGGTGCTAGCGTATTATAGCAGAGGATTCACAAAGCCCGAACGAAACTATTGTGTGACCAGGAAGGAGTTACTAGCAATAGTCAATGCAACAAAACACTTCCACAAGTACCTTTATGGACAGAAATTTCTTCTCCGAACTGATCATGCAGCGTTAAGATGGCTCCTCAACTTCAAGGATCTTGAAGGACAGATGGCCCGATGGTTGGAGCGTTTACAAATGTACGACTTCGAGATCGTGCACCGCAAAGGAACAACTCATAGTAATGCTGATGCTCTCTCACGTCGACCATGTTTACCAGGATGCAAATATTGCTGTCGTCACGAGGAGAAGATACAATCGGAAGACATAAGAGCAACAGCAATATAAGCGGATGACGGTTGGACACCGACGGATCTTGCTGATGCACAGTTTGCGGATGAGGACCTACAACATCTGATCACATGGAAGAAGGAGGGCAAGCGACCGGACTGGCAAAGCATCTCAGAATATAGTGCCGTGAGCAAGAATGAAGATCGTTCATTTGGATAGACTGGCTCCGTACCATGTGGACACCGGAACGAAAGCTGTTCGGGACGAACAGAACTAAGAAGGGGGTAATGTTATAACCGTGCTACCGAACGCACTAGATTCTAGCGTATTCTGGAATGTTCTAGTGACTGGAGCATTCTAGAGTATGCTAGAATCGGACCATCTAGAAGGATCTAGAAACGACGCTTGCGAAGAGTATATAAGGATAAGCGCACGTCGCAAGAAATCTGTGATTAGTGATATTCGTGATTAGTGATATTCGTGATTAGTGATATTCGTGATTAGTGATATTCGTGATTAGTGAAATTCGTGATTTTGTGAATAGCGATTCGGTGAATTATTTAAAGCGATATTTGATTTGTTTGTTGACGTTGTCATAGCGATAGATTTTGAACGATTTAAAAGTTAATTGTTGCGTTAGTTTGAATTTACTGGAAATAAACGATTAGTTGATTTCTTCTGTAAATAAAGTTTAATAACTAATAATAATTGATTTCTTCTGTAAATAAAGTTTAATAACTGTTTGGAATATTTTATTCAATCGAGGATTTGTCGTAAATCGTTTACGACAGAGAATATTATAACAATAGTTTTACTACTACAAAAATTTGTAATATGATTTTTTATATTCCCTTCCCACTATATTCTTTGACTGTCATCTTTTGGTAGTCTGTTCGGCTTGAGGATTTAAAACGTTTGAGTAATGAGGTTGAAACTATTAAAAAATCTTCTTCATGTGAATTTGCTGAGGTGGAGCATGTTAAAAAGTGGTCTGATCTTTTTGCAAAAAAAGTTGATTTAATGGCAAATGACATTAATTAAGTCAGTTGCCAGTTCAGTTGCTTCCACTGATTCAAAAATTAACATTTGTAATGAAAGGAATGCAAGAAAAAATAACATCATTGTCTTTAATCTTGTGGAAAACAGTCATTTCTCGAAAGCAAAAGATAAGGAGATAATGTCTGGCCTTTTTAAGGCTTTGCTACCTGAAACTGATATTAGCAAGAAGATATCAGACTGCTTTAGATTGGGTAAATTAACTGGAGAAAACCAAAGACTATTAAGAACCTAATATTGGAAAGTTGCTTCAAGTTTAAAGATAAAAGTGATATTACAAGTGATTGGAAGACAGCTCTGGTGGTACCATTACATAAAAAAGGTAATAAAAATTTGGCAACCAATTACAGACCAATTGCACTAACGCCAATATGTTGCAAAATAATGGAATCAATTATAGCTGATCATATTAAAAATCATTTTTTAAGTAACCATCTATTCACAGACAGACAATATGGGTTCCTCCCGTCTCGTTCAATCATATTACAGCTTTTGAAATTCGTTGATGAGGTAACGGCGTCATTGGAAGCAGGTATGAGTACAGATATTGTTTATACAGATTTGGAGAAAGCTTTTGATACAATTTCCCATTCTAGGCTGTTGTTCAAATTAAAAAAATATAAAGTTCAGAATAAGATAATAAAATTGATAGAAAGCTATCTTAGGGAAAGAACGTTTCGTGTTAGGGTTATAAATAACCAACTTTCAAGTGCTAAACCTGTTGCTAGTGGTGTTCCCCAAGAAGGAGTACTCAGTCCACTTTTATTCGTGATTTACGTCAACAACATTCACTCAATTAACAACAATATCTTTTTATATGCAGATGATGCAAAGATATTTGGTTCAATATCTGTTCCACAGGATGAGGCGGTGTTGCAAGGTTGTTTGGATAATGTAATGATGTGGTTCCACAGCTGGAGTTTGAAGGTTAACGTCAGTAAATGCAGTTTGTTGACAATAGGCAGATGTTTGGAAATATTTCATCACTGATTCAGATGATGTAGCTCAGGTTTTGCCAAGGGTGAAGAGTATATCTGATCTGGGTGTGGTAATGGATGATCGCCTCCGATTCATAGAGCATGTTTTGAGTCAAATAAAAAAATCTAACTCCATGTTAGGAATACTATCAAGAAATTTTAGTTGCCTGTCTGACGAAGCTTTCATCCGTATCTACAAGTCGTTGGTTCGCTCACGACTGGAATTTGCTGTTCAAGTTTGGTGTCCATATAGAAAAGGTCTAATAAATGAATTGGAAAAAGTTTAGAGAAGAGCTACCAAAATTCCAAAGTCCTGTAAAAATCTGGAATACAGTTTGAGGTTGGTGAAATTAAACCTCCCTTCCCTTAATTACCGCAGAATCAGAGAAGATTTAATCCTGGTCTATAGTATACTCCACGGTATGGTGGACCCTGCGATTTTCCCTCAGTTGTGCGGTAGGGCTGATGTCAACACCAGGGATCATCGGCTTAGATTGTGTACTCAACTGGCCAGAAAAGATTGCAGGAAATATTTTTTCTCGAATCGAGTTGTTAGCCCATGGAATGCATTGCCAGAGGATATTGTTAATGCTCCGTCATTGGCTATTTTTAAAACTAAACTAGACTTATTTTATGGTGACGCANAAATATTCTATATTTTAATTTTAGTTTGTCTTGTGCCTGATGTTTATTATAAATTATTTTGTT